TATCAATGTTATCATGATCACTATGATGAATGTTTCTATTCTCATTACAATATTCATTAATGCTCTAACATCATTAACAGCACAAGTAAAATTCAATGCTTGTGGTAAATTAAGAGATCAAGGGAGCCAAGTTACCCTCTCCCTGGTGACAAAATTAACATAGCAAAACTACAGTGGTCAGTACATGTGTAAGACCTACTGTCAACAGATTAATAATACACTTTGTATTTCTCTCACCTGTTCATCATCAAGGTCATCAATATACAGCTCGGGCACAGCTTCCTTACATTTTGGGAGGTCATGGCATTTCTCTTCATTCTTCATAAAATCATACACTGATTTTGTCTGCCTTATCCATGCTTCCCGAAGCTTACTCTGGGGCCTATAATGTAAGAAATATTGTCATATCAACTATACATTGCATCCTCAAATTATATTTACTTCATATGATTTGAATTTTATTAAGACTTTTGAGAAAAGAATTATTAGTAAATGTCTGTAAAATTATATATGACTGGTCCGTATCTCTTAATCTCTTTTCATCTTTATAAATGTAATATAGTCATTATAAATATAATGTACTAATATACATTGCACACTAATAACACATCGCAAAGTCGTATAAAGAATGACAAATGTTCATACTATGCTAAACTAGGCATGTTGACCAGTAAATCTTCATGAATTTCATGTAATATGAATATAATGTAGCTTTCTGGTACAGAAATTGTTTTTTACAAATGGTCATCAACACCCTCATACGGGGAGGATTAGATGAAAATACATGAACAACGCCTAACGTGACCCAAACATTTCCCAATAATACCCTTAATTATACAATAATACCCCATCTATCGGGCACTGCCATCGCTAAAAAGCACACTGGACATATTCAGGGCTCCAGTAATACCAAACTTTAATGGTTTTAAGATGCGGACTATGCTCGAAAAGTGTCTACAAAACTATCTTCAATTTCACGTTATAGTAATATAACCTTAAGTATTCCTCTGGTTTCTTGAGTAATGTGTTTAACTTCTCGCTGAATGTGTCCATCCTCACGTGTAGCGTTGTGTTTACATCCGAGCCGTGACTTATATTCCAGCTGTTGTGAATAATTTTTGAGTAATGATAAAATTAATTTATAGCACAAGCAAAGTATTGTATGATATTACTATAATGCTTATGAATAAATTATGTATTTTTAAAACAGCTTAATCTAAATGTATATTATTTTTTTAGGTTTGGACAATTATTTTCGTATCTGCTTTACAGTTGATATCAAAACATCTGAATTTTATCGAGATGTACCACTGAAAATATGGAAAAAATATAAAAATATGACCCATTTATACTGATGCTTAGAAAGCAAATATATCCAAAGTGAAAAAACACACACATTATAACTAACATCGCCATCTATTGATTTAAAAGACAACTAATAAAGACGAAATGGGAAAAAAACTTGAAAGGGGGAACTATTATACTGATGTAACTCTATGATTTGACCACCAAAGTTTTATTTAGATTGCATTAGTGATATATAAAAGGGTGTGTATGTATTATCTATGTGTGTATGTATATTTGTACATATACTCAAAGACATGTGTACGTGCGCGCGCGCGCGCGCGCGCGCGTGCGTGCGTGCGTGCGTGCGTGTGTGCGTGCGTGTGTGTGTGTGTGTGTGTGTGTGTGTGTGTGTGTGTGTGTGTGTGTGTGTGTGTGTGTGTGTGTGTGTGTGTGTGTGTGTGTGTGTGTGTGTGTGTGTGTGTGTGTGTGTGTGCAAGCTCGTGTATTCGTAGTTTTCTAAAAGCATCAAATCTGAAATATCACGAAGGGGGCTGACGCTGACAGCGGCGCGTAGCCGCATCTGCCTTTCGTTTCCGGCCCCGAGGGTTTATTATACCTCATCCTGAATAGGGATGAATGACAATGAGTATATTCATAGTGCAAGATATGTATTTGACCGTCTTCAATCCCTGACCCCGTTTTGCTCAAAGTGAAAAAAGGAGCACGTGCGTGTTCACGAGACGCACCGCGGTGCCGATATTGCGTACAAGATCTATATAAGTACTTATATAGACCTTGATTGTGCACACCCTCGCGAAAGCTCTGAGTGCGCACAAAAGATTTCCAAAGGCAAAATCATCCCTTGAAATGCATGAATTGTGCGCCTACTTCCCCAAGGATAGGATATTAAACAATCAAAGAAAGATTATATAGCTCTATAGCCAATACCCACTCCCAAGCATTGCGAAAGTTGTCCCGCTCTTAGTCAGTGATCATTGGGCATAAGTATTACCCTCTTATTTGGCAAAAGGAGCTCACCCCAGCCACGCCTTCGATACCATCTACTAAACATGCTGAGTTTATTTAAAGGATTGGCTGCTGGTATGAAGACTTCATTCCTACCAATCTTGACCATTTTAATGAAACTCTGTCAACAAGTTGGTAATATCATTACCCACCCTCACCCCAGGAACTCTGTCAAACATAGGTCTATATCACCTGAACTACTTGGAAAGTTAGTAAGGCCTACAATAAGTCAGCTAAAACACTTGGGGGTGGGATTCGTACTTACCTACGGACCTTGTTCTCTTTAGTAAAAAGCTTAATGAGGTAACAAGTCCAAAGTGAGAAAAGAGATTGTACGCATGGGTAGAATCGACTGACTCCACGACTCCCATGAGTAATGTGTGGAGGGAAATCAACAAGATTAAAGGCATTGCATATAATGTAACTTATCCAGAAAGGGTATCTTTGTTACTCCTGCGAAATGCTGCGAAAACTCCTCTCTCGACAATCTTCCATTATCCATACGGAGGTGCTCCCTTAAGTCAAAACACAAAAATTAAATTGACTATCAGTGCCAACTTTTAGATAAGGCTGATGCACCATTCACAAGGCATGAACTTCTTGCAGCCATTAAGACTAGCAAATCCACTGCACCTGGGATGATGGAATCACTTGTGACATTCGACTCCTTACAAAGGTACAGGTACAGGGAAGAAACCCCCTTCTCGATCTCTTCAACTTAATCTATACTACAGGCAACTTGCCTACTGCTTGGAAACAAGCTACCATTATACCCATCCCAAAACCAGGACGCCCTGATGAATTTAGACCAATTTCTCTGACATCCTGCAGCACCACATCCTATGCTGATGACATTCACATGCAGGTCTTTGATAGGGGATAATATTTCCTTCAGAGATTCAGCAAAAAGTGCACTTCGCTTGGACTCATAATCAATTTCCAGATCTCATAAATTGACATACATTTCAAGGTTACGCGGGCAAGTTATTGCAAAAACTGACACCTGTATCTTGGTGTTATGATGATCTCCCCAACTCTGTCCCGTTTGGGAAATTGTTTAAAACAGCAGGGAAAGTTGCTTGGAGCGTCTAAGACCTTAACAATATACGAGTATAAGTAACAGATATATAGGTATTTCTGTAAGAGTCCTAAGGTTGATTTACATTCCCTTATGAGGTCCATGATAGATTTTGTGAGCCCGGTTCTTAGTATGTTGCCACATAATGCTCTCCAACCCCTTAAAGTCTTACAGAACAAGGTCATAACTCATTCTTGGTTGCCCCATGACTGCAAAAGTTCTTGTTATGAGGAGAGAGCTAGATCTTCCTTCAGTTCATAGCCGTATTACCGAAGTCAATACCATACTCGGCATCAGACTTCTGCGCTTCTATCCAGAACACAAACTCCCTTGCTTTGTCTAATGAAATGAATTATAGAGCTAGTCATGCCTGGCGGCCTCGATATTCCAATCTCATGAAGTCCAACTTAGAATGGAAGGCTAAAACTGCCCATTATCATTAGTATTATCATTACTGTTATTATCATCATTAATTATTATTATTATTATTATTATTATTATTATTATTATTATTATTATTATTATCATTATTGTTACCATCATCACCATTATCCTTATTATCGGTATTAATATTATCATTGTTATCATTCCTACTATTATATGTCATTATTATTACTATTATCATTATCATTATTATCATCATTATCATTATCATTGTTACCATTATCATTATCATTATTTTCTCTATTGTTATTACTTTTATCATCATCAACATCATTATTGTTATCTTGAAGATGATAATTATAATATAATGATGATGATAATGATAATGATATTAATAACAATACTATTACTATTGCTAAAGATGAAAATACCGATAATACTACTAATAATAACAATAATAATAATAAAAAACAATAATGATAATGATGATAATCATAGCAATGATAATAATGATAACAGTGATGATAATAATGATAATAATCACAATAGCAACAACAATAAAAGCAATAACAACAATAATAATAATAATAGCAATGATAATGATAATAACAATAGTAATGAGAATGAGAATGAAAAAATAATATCGATGATGATCATAAAAGTAATGTAGTAATGATATTGATAATGGTAATCATGCTGTTGATAATACACGCACATGATAATGATGATAATTATGTTTCCATACTTTTGAGTGATTATCTAATAGAAAAAATAAACATTACTGGTAATACTTTTTTAATATTCCCATCCGCACCTTACTTTCACTCTCCTTCTCTGTCTCTGTCTCTGTCTCTCTCTCTCTCTCTCTCTCTCTCTCTCTCTCTCTCTCTCTCTCTCTCTCTCTCTCTCTCTCTCTCTCTCTCTCTCTCTCTCTCTCTCTCTCTCTCTCTTCTCTCTCTCTCTCTCTCTCTCTCTCTCTCTCTCTCTCTCTCTCCCTTCCTCCCCACACGTACACACACAAACAGAAATACGTGTCTGTTTGTCTACCTGTCTGATTGACTCTCCCACACTCACATAGGGCAATACAGCTTAAAAAGGGGAAAAGGGAATAAGTTCGGTTACAAAACACAACACAAAAAACACAACGCAGTTCGCACGTCCACACTTAAAGAGAAATCGAAGGCTTGCTACGTTGGATACACACACATATACCAAAAAAACTGAAAAAAATATCATAAAAATCTGCTGACCGGCTCTGAGAGGCTGCGCGGAAAGGAGAAAACGTCAGTGTGTGTGTAGCAGTAGAAGAGGAAGGGTGTGCCTCTGCTCTCGATCTCATTTTTAATCTTCTCTCGCAAGCATGGAGGTAATTGATTTTGTTTTGGGATAAATGGTTGTAGTTTTTGATTTGCCTTAAGGTGAGGTGTATAGTAAGAGAGTTTATTTAGTAGTTTGTTTTTAATTTAGAGAGAGTTTATGTGGTATTGAGGTACAATGCGGTATTCCAGAAGAGCTATGGTGACATGCTAATAAGATGGAACTTCAGCGAAATATTCTTTCTTATTGGCTGAAAGTGCTATAACTCACATTCCCTGTAAGAAACTGTAATTTTTGTAATGTCAGTTCGTTTATTCAATCAGTAATTTAGAAAATCATATAAGAACCTCAATCAGTAATTCGCTATCTTGTACCGGTATTTTTGTAGTTTCTTGTCTGTGTATTTTGTAGTACTGTGATTTCATGGTTATTTTCGACCATTTTTCAAGTCTTGATGCATTTTACAAGTTTAGATGTCATAGTATTCACGTATGACTTATGTAAGCTTGAGGAATATTGATCGAAACGGATGCCAGTGATTTCAAAGTCTGATGATGATTATTTTTATTATTCCCTAAAATGTGATTACACCAATCAAGAGAAAATTGTACATTTTACAAAATAGGACTTTGTGAAGTATATATGCCATGTTCCTGTTATTGGTCTACAATTTTTTTTTCTACATTCTAGCAAGATATAGTAAATTTGTAGATCTCCTTGGTGGTTTATCGTGAAATGAAGAATTAATCGAACTCTGTTATACCAGAATAATCATATAGAACGATGTGTGACATTGCCAGGATAAGCAGCACAGATACTGTGACATCACTTTATTTGAATATTTTAAAGTAATTTAACTCGTAAATGGGTAGCACAATATTACATCCTCATAGAGAAAGCCGATATAATATTGTGTTAAAATCTAAGGGTGTTTTAATTTTACCTGTCTAATAGTTCTCCTTACTGCTCGTCTACTAATAGAGGTTAGGCTGTAGATGCCACCTGAGTGCCAGCCACTGTGCCTGCCGATGGCTGACATTGGCTTCTGTGCATATCGGTGAACTGCCAAAGTCCATCTAATCTCCTTCATGTATATTAAGCCAAGATAGTTTATGTAAAACTTTGGCAGCTTCTCATTAAATAAGGAACCAGTCCATGCTCAGCCCTGTCAGAATATACAGAGTTGTATCAGTCATTTTCTATAGTGACAGCAGGTCTGCATTTCAAGTGGAATTGGACAGCAGTATAGTCTGAAAAAGTCTTATTTCCTGTGTTAGACCTCTTAACCTTTTTCATTTCACAACTTATGTCCGTATAGTATGTATAGGTGTTAGACCTCTTAACCTTTTTCATTTCACAAATTAATTGTATTAACCCTATGGTGATGGGGCCTGAAGTTTTTGTATTGTAATATTGTGCAACAGTCCGTACTTTGTGGCTAGGCCTAAACTGTGTACAGCCAGCCAACCGGTTGGAAGTCATGACATGTATATGTAGGCCAATACGTCATGACAACTATAGCTGTACCCGTCTCTGAAGGGTTAAATTCCAAGATAGAAATGAATTTTAAGTTGCATCAAATTCAGTCATATCGTCTTAATAATGATTTATGTTTTATATGATATTTTGATGTTCATTTTACAGCTCCCAGCTGTAATCAAGGTTTTAAGTATGGCTGAGGAAATGATTGGGAAGAGTTGAGACAAATAATAAACATAAATATATTGAAAGAGATCAAATTTTTTATTTTTTTTATTTTTTGATTTATTTTTTTTTTTTTTTTTTTATACATTAGACTACATGGGAAATGAATGAATTGGCTATATCCACCACTGCTCTGGCCTAAGTAGCTGCCATAGCTTCTGTCACAGCCTTTTGTTGTGATCCAAGGGGTTAGAGGTTTATAAAGTAAGGCAAGATGGAACTAAGGATTTTCATGGTAGTGCATTGGTAATTTCATTCTGCTTTGTAGGGCCTATTCCAAACTTGTCATACTCCATGTTACTATATCTAGAATGGTTATTGCTGGGGTCAAGACTGGAGGCCTGTCTTAACCTCAAAAGCACCAGAATACATTCCTATTTTTTGTGGATTACCCCTTCACATGTCCGCATCCTTCAACGACAGTGGTCAGCCACCAGCCATACTGTAGCATTGGATATATTATTATCCTCATCATAATCACTATTATAATCATAGCTCTTGCACTCACTATATTGTTATTGTGAAAATGATAAAGAAAATCAGTTATTGACCACACCACACAACACACCACCACACACCACACACCCACAAAACACAGACACACACCAACACACACACACACCACACACACACCACACACACATACACCTCTCTCTCTCTCTCCTTCTCTCTCTCTCTCCTCATCTCTCTCCTCTCTCTCCTCTCTCTCTCTCTCTCCTCTCTCTCTCTCTCCTATCTGTCTCTCTCTCACTGGTCTCTCTGTCTCTCTGTCCTCTCTCTCTGTCTCTCTGTCTCCTCTCTGTCTGTCTCTCTGTTTCTTGTCTCTCTGTTCTCTCTGTCTGTCTCTCTGTCTGTCTCTCTCCTCTCGTCTCTCTCTCTCTCTCTCTTCTCTCTCTCCTCTCTCTCTCTCTCTCTCTCTCTCTCTCTCTTCTCTCTCTCTCTCTCTTCTCTCTCTGTCTCTGTCTCTCGTCTCGTCTCTCTGTCTCTCTCTTCTCTCTCTCTCTCTCTTCTCTCTCTCTCTCTCTCTCTCTCTCTCTCTCTCTCTCTCTTCTCTTCTACTCTGCTCTCTCTCTCAAAGGCACACACAAACTCAAAAACAAACACCACTCTAAAAACACACAACACACACTCAAAGATAACACCACACTCAAAAACCACACACACACTCCAAAAACACACACACACACAACACACTCAAACAGCACACACACACACACACACTCAAAACCACACACACTCAAAAACACCACAACACACAACTCAAAAACTACCACACACACACACGCACACATTCAAAAAAAACAGCACACACACACACACACTCAAAACACACATCACACACACACATCCTTAAAAAACACTACACCACACACACACACCACCCAAAAAAACACACACCTTCAAACCACACCACACACTCAAAACACACACCACACACTCTAAAATACACACACACCACACTCAACGATAACACACACACACAATCACTTCTACCCACCAAATAACAACACAACACACTTCCTCACAGAAACACACACACACTCAAAAGAAACACATCTTAACCACCACACTTATCAACAACCCATATCACTTATATATGAATAATATAATATATACTTATATATAACCACACAACTACTAATATATATATATATATTATATATATATTTATACCACACACACACACACACCAACACACACCCATTACACCACACATAAATAATAATATATATCAACTACAACCCTATAATCAACAACTCTAAGACACTACATATCATAATATATACATACTCTTATTAATACTACATATACTATTTCTAATAAATTAATAAAATATATAATTATTATATTATTTTATATACTTATAATATATTATATATAATATATATGGTGATGTGTAATGTGTGTGTTTGTCTCGTGTGTGTGTGTGTGTGTTGTGTGTTGTGTGTGTGTGGTGTTGATCTGTGTGTACATATGTGTGTGTGTAGTGAATTTATAGACGTAACTTATTTTATATGTAAATATTTTTCGGAAGTGGTCCAAATTATGTGCTATATTTTCAACCTACTTAAGTGTAGAAGCTTCAGCTGTTGGCAAAACTACAATAATAAAGTAAAAATACTACCAATATATTACCTTTGTAGCTGTTCTTAATTATTTCTTCTGAATGCCTAAAGTTAGTGTAAACAAAATATTACTTACTCACATAATTATTCTAATATACGAATCCACTGCTTATAACTATTTGTTTTGAACGGTTAAATGTAAAGCCTGTTGTTTACGTACTCAGGTGTAGACAAGCGGGAATGTCTGAATTTCCGCGAAAATTTCTGTTACACATCCTATTATTGAAAGGCAAAAACACTTTGTCTTGTTGACACTATTGTTAGAAAAAAACTGCTATTCACAAACTAGATTTCATAAAATGTGATGAGACAGTTTTCGAAATCCTTTATTTTCTTCTAATTTTCAGGTCTGATCTGAAAAGGATATTTAGAAGAATTTCAAAGGTGTCTCACTTTTCGATGAATCTAGTTTGTGCATAGTGGATTTTGTACCATCCAATTACTGCTTTATCGTTAGTAGTTGCTCTATCTACTTTAAAGTTCAGTTATCTTGTTCAGAATGTGAAAATGCTGAAGTGGCTAATAGTATCTTTTATTGTGAATATTTACATATTTCTCATGCATCTACGGCAGAACAGATTTTCTAAAATACTAACATTTTCGATCTCGTTCTTTTTCAGATCATCTCGACATCTAAAGATATTCACCGAGGTCATACAACCCATTTTTAAATCATTCTCGTTACCTCATCTCCATTCACGACATACTCGTTACAAAGTGCCAGACGGATGCCATTACTGCTGCCAATGCCGGTACAAAATCCCTTTTCCTTACTTCAGAGTACACTAATGCCATTTAAACCTTTGAAATAACGGCACCACTTGGTACGAGAAGGAACACAAGAGCTCCTTTGTATCTATGAATGACAAATGGAAGAAACCCGGGTTGGCACCATGAATGAAAGCCGCACTCCTGTATCCACCCGTGATCCCCCCCCCCCCCCTGTTTGTAGACGGAGCCATTTCCGTCTCTCGTTGAACTGTAGTGCTACAAGACCGCGCGTCCCTGTAGTCTCGAAGTGCCACATTCCTGCCGGCGACAAGCAGGCCGTAAAGCATTGTGACTCGCTGGTTCTCGGTCCAACACAGCTCCACGGGGCTCGGGGGAGTCCGCGGTCAAGTGTCTGTTGGGTCCGTTCGCCCTAACTCTGTCCTTGCGACTCACCATGTCACTCCTTTCCCTGATTCTCGTGCCACTTCCGGCGTAACAGGCAAGGGGGCTATTTCCGCTGTCGTGTGGTGTGACTGCCTCCTTTTTGGCTCGAGGCCAGGATGTGCTTCAATGGCGTATCCGAGAGATCTGAGGCCAATCTAATGAGGCGTAAAGATCTTTTCTCAGCTTGTGTCATGGCATGATTTGATTGTCA